GGGAGACAACGGAGGAATCAAGTTGGACTGTTTAACAGTCGAGACAATGCCTGAATAACTCTGACTATTGCCTCATTGACTGTGGGCGGCCGATCCAATGCCGGAATACTCCAACTATTGAACCACTGGACGCGCACCACAACAGTCCAACAAGATCCGTCAAGGCGGGGAAGTCCTTTACCAACAATGCGTAAGTCTGCCTGGGTAGGTCTTACTACAATGCTGGTAAAGGAATGGGTGTTCGTTCGTTGTTCGCGTGGCCTTTTATAGGTGCCTTTTCGGCGGTCACATTACTCCGGTCCCGTGTTCTGTGACAAATTTCAACAGATAGGTACCGTGTTCTGTGACAGAAACCGGACAGCGCAATCACCGAAAATGCAAATAATAATATAATAATCAATATCAGAATATAAGTTATACGATAATAAGTAATAATAACAATAACAATATCAATAACAATAAAAGGATTATACCGTGACCAAGAGATTTGGGCGATATGGCGTACACATAAGATAATAAGTAATAATAAGAATAAGAATAACAATAAAAGGATTATACCGTGACCAAGAGATTTGGGCGATATGGCGTATACACTTATGTTATATTTGGATTATAAATATAGGTATACGTTATCGATATACAATATACGTTATTCTATGTATATACGTATAGGTTTACTTACTTTTCGCGATTTTTATTTTCACTGTTTTATTTTCGCGATTTATTTTTCGTGATTTTTACATAGATTCGTTATATTTTAAGCTTTAATTTTGCTTACTTTGCGTTTGCTTACACTATAAATATTTTTGAATAATGCCATAATGCGGTAATCATTAGTTTGCTTTCACCTAATTCCTTGCTATTTATTTCATAATTTTTAGATTAAAAACTTGGTTAAGGAGCCAAATGGGGCAAACGAGATTGATTGGACTGGCATTAATGCGTGTGCATAGAAATATAAGTATAGATATAAATAATATAATTGACCGGTTTGCAAAAAACAAACGAAAAATAGATTTTATTGTATAACTGTACTTATTTATTATTATTATTATTATTTATATGTATAATATAATATTTCATTGTATAATTGTATTTATTTATTTATTTATTATTATTATTAATGATACGTATAATATATCGATTTAAAAAATAGTTTCGGTCCCCCCCCCCTTGAAAGCTGTCTAGAAACGCCGCTGGTAGGTACTAAATATTAAAATTAAAATAAATAATAGTAATTTCATAATATATTAAGTCATATTTAAATAAATGGATTTTGTATGTATCTTTGCCTTTAGTTTTTAGTGTATAAGTATGAAAAAGGCACTTAAAACTTGGTCCGCGAATTTTTTTTTAAAAAATATTTACTAACTGCTATAGACTATAGAGTGTAGCCGTGTAGGTATATTTTATGCTATCTAATTTATATTTTGTAGTTATTAAAAATTAAAAATTACCTGAACACAAACGGGAACCAATTCGGCTCAACTTAATAAAATTCCTTTTTTAAGCGGGAACCAATTCGGCTCTATTTAATAAAATATCTTTTTCAAACGGGAACCAATTCGGTTACTCCCAAAATGAATTCACCCTTTTCCGATTAGGTAACGTACCTACTTAATTCTTATCGAAATCATCATTCTTTTCAATTACATCTGCTCTATTTTTATCATTATTTTTTTTTTGTTCGGTGAAGTTACAGTTTTTAATCGATTGTACTGAGAAACAGTTTTTTGAACTATATCCAATGCCAATAGTGTTGGAAACGCGCTTCATGATTTAAAATTAACTGAATTAATTATAATTTAACAGTTGTAACATTTTTGGCACACAAAAAATTTAAAAAAATTAAAATATTAAATTTGGAACATATATATTAAAGTGAAAATTAGTTCAAATATTGAATTAACAAATTATTATGCGGTAGACCGTAAACGAATAATTTAATGATTTTTATTCGATAAAATGTTATCACGCTTCATTATCCAAAAATATATTACATTATTTTCAAATTCAACTAGTAACTTACATATTTATTTCATTCGGTTAAGTATATATCAGTCTTTTAAGATAGCCCAACAACACTAACACAAATTTAATTTAAAAGTTAATTGATCACGCGTAGTAAAATAATTACCTATAGAATAGTTCTTAGAAAATGGTATCAGGAAGTAAAGTCTGATTCCATAGGTAGATTCAAACCTCGTATTAAATTGGGTCCAATAAATATTGACCAAGAACCAATATGTATTTATCTCCAAAGTGCAATGAAAACTAATTTTAAATTTTAAAATTAATGTAAACCTCCAACCACGACAAAAAAAAAAATACATTGCTTTTTCTATAAACCATAATGTTGTTGAGAAGATTAAGAACTAAGAAGTATAGTCAGCAATGAGCATTTATGATCAAAATAAAATTGGGATTAATTTCAGAGCAGTATCTCAAGAATTAAACATACACAACTAGCAGTCTGAAAAAGATAAAACCCTTTTAGACATGAACAGGAGGGGGGATAGGTGTGCCAAGACATCAAGCTCCACGCTTTACCTTACCAAAATTATAAAACAAAAACAAAAAATTACTTTACTCTTGAGTAAACAATATTCATTTTATCCTTGAACCGACACTATACTAAACCACAAAACTCTGAAAATTATACTGCCAAGTAAAAGAAACAAAGTACTCAAATTATAAAAGTTAGATTATCTTCTCGTTCCGTGCGATCAGTTCATATATTATTATTGCGGGCGGTTTGTAAGATATGCCTATTATACTACGTAACAAATGTACTTAAAATAATAAAATACTTTGGCGAAATGTTTTATTTGACAAAATTACGATTGGACTTAATAGATCTATCTAAAACCTAACTTCTCTCAACTTATAAAAGACACGCTACAACTTAAACGTGATGACTAAAATCGGCTGTTATTTTAGCTTTTACTGCGATTTCAGAATTAAAACTATTAGTATAGGTACTGTCGTGGCGAACTGAACGACAAGGATACCGGGAAACTGCTCGAATAAAATATATTATTATTAATATTGTTACTGTGAAATCATTAATTAAAATGGTATTTAATAATTAATAAGTAAGTAATATTATTATTAAACATAAAAACCCAGATTTCTGATTATTTTAAAATACGGGACCGTTAGTATACTGAAGGCCTCTAAAATTATGATTTTTCCGGGCTGCTTTGTACTCCCAGTTCGCTACTGAGTATTATTACACCAAATTATTAAAATGAAACGTATAATTAAAAAAAATAACATTTTCTAAGGGAGATGTTAATATCTGATTTTTATTACTATTCGTCAAGCCTAAGTGATTCGCGCGATATCTTTAATTTTTCTAATTTTTTAAATTTATTATTAATACATGAATAGTTAAAAAAAAAAAGAACGAGATTGTGACTAAAATGTCGTTATATATTTATGCACCGTAAATATTGGCAGCAGAGACTTACTTTCAAAAAAGTTCTGTTATAGGCCGCCATAATAAATCCACTGTCAAAATGAATATAATATACCTTTAATCTAAATATAATTCACACCCAGTGCCAAATTGAGTAATACAACTGGGCTGAGTAAAAATAAAAAATGGCTAGGCGCCCAGACCATGAGTAATTTTTTTTTCATAAATTGTTTTAAGGATGAATTTAATAAATAAATAAATATTTCAGAAAGATTCCTAGAATTTCACACAAATATTTTGTTCGATTTCAAATGGTTTAACTCTAGGTACCCAAACTTTTCCTACTCGTGGCACCCTTTCAGAGTTGAAGTTTGCTTATGGAGCCCTTAATAAAATTTACGATATTTTTTTAAATAAAATAGATAAAATATTATTGTTTATTTTTAGACCAGATAACATTTTCAGCAACGAGGCGCATCCGCGGTTCCTCTGATAACACACTGCGGCGCACAATTTGGGAAACTCTGGTTTAACTGGTTGTAATAACATTAACTATATTAGTACATATATTTATGCTAGGTACAATAGCAATTTGTGCGTATAAAAATGTACAGATATTAACAAGATGATAATATATTCATATTTATTGTCTTATTCGACCTTAATTACTTGTCAAATAGGTATAAATAATAACAATATCAGTATTGATACCGATGTTGCGATGTCTTGATTATGAACAATTCAGCTGAAGTCTCTAATAACTATAATATTAATACATTATAATTTAATACTTATTACTTATTATCAGATAATAACTGATATTTGAAGATTGTATATACATTTTATATTTCATCGATTTTTAAGTTGGATAAAATGTAAAAATACAATAGTTCATAATACACCAATAAATACCAATGTACAACTTAAGTTTTTAAACTACTCATTGATCAATAATCACTAAAAAATCATATTTTCATATCAAGTACTGATCCCAGAACTGAGAATCAACTATCAAGTCAAGTATCCAAAGTTACTTAACACGTGTATCATAATACAATATTTGTACTTGCATTTAATTTAAAAAAATAATACTGAGTAATAAACAAAATATTATGTTTAGTTATTTAACATAATTTTGATTATTTTACTTTCATGCATTCATAAAAATATTTTTATAGTTAAAACAAAGCAAATTACGGTTTTATATAACGACTATATATTAATAACTGCAAAGAGATAACAGAATAATTTTGTAAAATAATATATTTAAAAAATAATAACAGAACTACTGGAACAATAACAACTCATAGAATAAAAATCCTATGTGATCAATCGTAAAAAAAGAATTTGGAGTGTGAGTTTTAATAAGTATTATAATTTAGTACATTTATGTATTACAAAAACAATGATTTGTATTTTTCATAGTAAACTATTGGAAATATTACAATTAGAAATAAATTGTAGAAGTTTCAGAACTACTATTTGTTATGTGGACAACCCCCTAACCATGTGTGTAAAAAGCTAGAAAAATTGAGAAAAATAAGAATGTTTACCCATTACCAAAGATAAAAAATCAAAATAATAGTTTAAAATTTAGTTATTTAAGATGTGACATATGACCAAAAATACTGATTTTAAGCTGAGGCATTAACTAATTGATAACAATTGGGAGCCAGACATGATTCAATAGTAATTCTACAGTTGTTTTGTATATGATTACTGATCCGGGCACATAGAGGCTTTTTCTTGCACATGCTACAATGAGTCTGTAAAACCAACAAATAATAATTGATCTCAATTGTGAATAAATACATAATAAAAAAAAACGAATTATTAAAATTAATAAATTAATTTTGATTCCTTACCGCTTTAATAGGAATGCCGAGTGTTACCCAAACATCAAGCATGTCCTCAACAAGTCCATCAATCATTTCTGGAGTGTGGTGTGGTGTAGGCGCCAATCTTAATTTTTCTTGGCCAATTGGTACAGTTGGATAATTAATAGCTTGTACATAATGTCCTTTTTCTTGGAGCAGTATATCAGATATTTTTGAACATAAATTTGGATTTCCAATCTAAAAAAAATATATGTTGTGTATAAAATTAAATAATTATCAGAAGTTTTTATTTAAACTAAGACCTTAATGGGTATTATATGAGATGGCGTTGACTCAACGGGTAACCCAGCAGCATATAATTTTTGGCGGAGGTACTCAACATTTTCTTGATGTTTTTGTCTGAGTGATCTTCCTTCTGCTGATGCTAATACATTAACAGCTGCTCGAGCACCAGCTAAAACCATGGGCGGTAATGATGTGGTAAAAATAAAACCAGCAGCATAACTACGGATCATATCAACCAAATTGCTTGAAGCAGCAATATATCCTCCTACATTACCATAAGCTTTACCTAGAAAAATTTAAAACACAAGTTATACTTTGCGTAAATTTTTTCTACTTTTTTATATAATTACCCAATGTGCCAGATATAATGTCCATTTCATTCATTAGACTGCGCAGTTCACCAACACCGGCACCATGATTGCCATACAAACCTACAGCATGAACTTCGTCTACAAAAGTCAAAGCTCCATACTTATGAGATATCTAAAAACAATTGAACCAGTTTAAAATATTAATAATTTTTAAATTAATTATTGACAGTATGCTTTACTTCACAAAGTTCTTTTAGTGGACATATTGCACCAGTCATAGAGTGAACCGTTTCAAATGCAACTATCTTAGGTACAGCCTTATCAACGGACATTAAAAGTTCTTCTAAATGTTGCGGATCATTGTGACGAAATATATGCTTGGGAGCTCCACAGTTACGAATACCCTGTATCATTGATGCGTGATTACCAGAATCCGAAAATATGTGTATGCCTAATACATGTTGAACAAATAAAAAATTAATAGTTGATAACAAAAATGTATGAAATATTCAAGAAAATAAATTATCTATACCTGGTATCATCTTTCCCAATGTAAATAATGTAGAGTCATTTGCAACATAACATGACGTAAACAATAAGGCAGCTTCTTTTTCATGGAGTACAGCTAAATCTTTCTCTAAATTCTCATGAAACATTGAATTACCCGATATGTTACGTGTTCCTCCAGCACCTGACCCATATTTGTCTAAAGTTCGTCTAGTAAAATAATTAATATTCAGTTTTAATTAATAATTACAATAATTAAATCAATATATCATTAAGAACTGAGTAATATAAAACACATCTTACTGAACTGCACCCTTCACTTCTGGATGACAAGACATACCAAGATAATCATTTGAACACCATACTGTAACTGGTTTTTCATTTCCTGTGTATTCAACTGCATACGGAAAATCCATTGCCAATCTATTCACTTTTCTGAAAATCCTATAAGAATGGTCTACCTTCTTACGCATAATTTGTTCATGGAAAAATTTTTCATAGTTGTAGGTAGTATCTTAAAACAAAAATTATCTATTTATTATAAGTCCATCAAATGATGAAATATATGTTTAAGTCAATTTAAAATACATCAATATATAATATGTATAAATAAATACAAAATCAATGTACCGTGATTGGTTGTTATTAATCATGAGTTTAATAACTAATAACTTAGAAGAGATTTATAAACATAAGAATATAAAATTTTATATTTTAATGTCATTTATCAATACATATATAATATTTAAATTTGTATAAACTATTCAATTATTGCTTAAGTTATTCAATTAACTGTAAAGTTATACTTAAATTGACTTAACATTTATTCTTTTAAAACTTGTTCATATTTTATAATATTAGAAATAAAAATTGTAATTTGAAACCTGTTTTAGGTTTGGGTTCAATTATATCCTCTTGAATTTCTTTGCTGATTTCTTTGACTGCTTTTGCAGTACTTTCATCTTCTAGAAACGGGCACTTTTTTTTGTTATTAGTCTTATTATTTATAACACCTGCAGGGGATCCGACATTTATGAATCTAGACATAACTGGACATGAATGACCATATGTTTTAAGCAGGCCCGAAACATAGTTTTTGACATAAGCAGTGGGCAGTTTGGACATGAATGGGCACGCCATGACACTGAACTAAAAATATATATACATAATAAATAATATCTCACTATTGATGACTTAAATATTAAAGATAAATTTATATCAATTATAAAATAATATTACTCTTTAACAATATCAAATCGTAAAAATAAATAGATAATTAATTACTTTTAGTAACACATATATTTTATTTGGTCAAATAAATGCAGCGAAGTTTGATTGAAATGATTTTCAAGGAATTCTAAGAAATCATATTTTCATACCCTAACAATTCAGTTATATCTGGGTATAAATAGAAAAATTATTCAATTATAAATTTTTAAATTAATTTTTTAAAATATTTTATAACTAAAAAGATTCTACGGTCTACATTTTACCAACATACAACATGAAAAATTTTCTTTTGTAGAACCAAATGTTTTGTTGTTAACTTAAATATACTAACAAATTTACTTGTAATAAAACTTGAAATTAAGAATACAATCTATAGCTACATTAAATATTACAACTTTAAAATTATAATTTTAATAATAATATCCTATAAGATGTCCTAAATTATATTCTTACTCATAAATTGATAATAGGTGAATAAATATATTCTAATATTAAAGCTAACAACATAAAATAAATTCTACTTAACGTAAATTTGTTATGTTGTATTGTTATTCATAAGTGAGAGGGATACAATAGATGCAGCCATGCATTATGTACAGAATCCTTATTTTTAAATTAATACATTTTATTATTTTGATATATTATGCGGGTAAATTGATATTTTGTTAAACTTATTGTATAATAAGGATTTTAAAAAAAAAAAAATTAGTTTTAGGCATTATTTATAGTTAAAATTACTCCACATGAAATTTAAAACCCATCAATAGTATTATTGGAAATTGTTATACCCATAATAGTGTAGTATCTAACACTAATATAAGCGAATTTGACAGTTCATTTTAGAATTAATTGATATTTTAAAAGGTTAAAGATAGGTATTTAATAAACCTATAGGTATAGGTAATAAATTAAGTGACTATAATACAACATTTAGGTATGACATATACAAAAGAACATTTAGATCAATAATAAGACCATAGAAACTATAGTATTGTTAATAGCTACTTAAATTTTAATAATATAATAAGAAGTAAATAGAAAGTAAAAGCATTTACTCAATATACTTATAACATATAATTATTCATGCTTAATTGGTCAATAAAATACTCAAAGACTTAAAACAAAAATTATCTACAATTATTCAACCTTAGTAAAATTCATAAATTATATTAAAACTATAATCATATATTATTACTTAATAGTATTATAAATCAAAAACTTTCTAATAGTAAATAAACCGGTTTCGAGAAAAAATATCAAGGATCAACTAATACTTTGATAATTTTTTAATTAAATATTACTAATGGTAAACATAATATAATATAATACTAAGAATAAGTAAATTATAATATTGACATATTAGCCAAGAATATTAAATGAATGGATTGTTGAATAAGATATCATCCAATGTCAAACATTGAATTATATTATAATTAGTTAACCTTCAATTTAAATGTAATAACACAACATATTTATAGGTATATTAGAATAATAATTAAAAAATTTAGAATAAAATTCAAATATTTTTGTAATAATTATTCAATTGAATATTCTATTTATTGTGTTACTCTGTACAATAACCTCTAATTAGAACAAATAGTATACAATTGTATAAGTCTTGGCCAATGACAATGCAATTAAAAAAATAAATAATTTTAATCAGCACAAGGTTAACTGGGTCACCTTTCACCCCAACCATATTAGAGTAAATTAATAATCGCAAGGAATATTTTATTTTCAAGTTATTCTGTCGAGGAAAAGAAAAATTTCATGTCCATAGGCATGTTAATGGTGTCTGGCCACCACGGCAATAGTCTGACCCTCAAATTTAATTCAATTGTATAAAGTAGTACAAACTCGGGCATGATGCTTCGGTTAGGTATTATACAATAGTATTGTAAAGGTGAAATCGCCACCGACGATTTTCGTATCGGCAGAGCGCGACTGGACGTTTGAGGCTGATACACTCACCTTTTTTTACACGGTAACGTTCAGTTGCTGTTGTTTTTTTCTCGACGGATATCCGGATTTAGTGTCTAACACGTAGTCTGGGGACTGTGAAGTTGAAAGTGAGAGCTGGACAAACGGCAACCACCTCTGACGTCAGAGTGCGAAGAATTTCTCTCGCGTCAAACGTACGCCAGCGACTCGTCCGTCCGTCCGTCCTGTGTGAACAGAATAAGGTGATGAAAGTGCGCACTGGTCGCGATCACAGACGACTGACAGTGATAAAACATAAGCGTTAACACTACTTTACAGTTATCGCTATCGATGGGCGGCGGCGTAAGACTATAGTGGTGCCGATCATCGGCGACCCCTCCACCACAAATATCATATTGTTATCAACGACGAGGACGACGTCGACCTCCACCGACTGCCACGCCTTCACAGAGACGGTCGTCACACAAACGTCCGGCGCCGCCGTCGTATTTTTTTTCGTTTTGTAGACGTGTTTACTATGTAGACAATGATTCATAAGCGTAAGTGTGTTACTCGAAGTGGAGGTGGTTGGAGGAAACTGATCCACTAAAGGCCGATACGTTGTCCACAACTGATTTGGAAACCACTCGATTTTTTTGGTTGTATATTTTTTGAAACTTTATATAATTACAATATCGCTAACTTAATTTATATTATTATTTATTATATTACGTAGGTACTTTGAGTTTTAAAAATACTTTAAACGTAACACATAAAATATTTAGTGTTAATGGTTCCAAATCCCAATTAAAATGTTTTGAAATAATAAATTATATTATACTTACAAATTTTAATCAAAATAATCTAACCTAACCTAACGTATCTGCGATAGACGTAATTATACGCTCGACTGTTGTGATGTGTATGCCGACGTGTGACGATACGATATCATGTATTATGTATCTACTGGCGTATTTATGATTTGATTTTTAATTTTTGTACGTATAATTTTTTGTCGAATCTTTTTTAAATTTCCACGTATTTATAAACTAGATAATAAAACCAAAGTTGAAAATGAAAAATATTTGAAAATCGTTTTGTCTATACGTAATATTACACAACGAAATTATCTAAGTGATATTCTGATAAGCATTTACAAATAAAACTAATTGCAAGACTAAGAGCTAATATAGAGTTACTTTCCTTGTTACTAACTCATTAAATATGTATTATCCATATTAATTATTATTGACACAATTAATATAGGTACAATTTGGGTTTTTTGGGAACTGTCTATGACGGTGGGTAAAATCATGTATTTTAATTTACTAATGTAATATTAATTACTAATTCATCTATATTTTATACGTAGGTAAAGGTATTAAATTAATGAATTTAAAAATATTATAATTTATTAGTCTCATTGTATTTCTATGCAATATTCATATTATATAGTTTTTTAACTTATAATTTGATAACTGTGTGAGGGCGACTTCATTATATTTCCCATACCTATCTTATTTTGTTATCCAAGACTCCAACCCAGTGGCGTATACAAGCGGGTGTTTGGTGGATATGACACCCCCCTTGAGCCGTATCATATACTACATTATTATTACATATTATGTATTACAATATACATTATTATATATAATAAAATAGGAACATAGGTAAACCGTAAATACAATATGAAATATAAAATAATGCACAATACTAATTAGTAATTACATATATACAGGTTAACAATATCGCGATCGCTGCGGTAATGCGGTATCGCGATATAAAGACTAGTCGAAGTAACAGTAGAAGAAGTAATACAAAAATTGTCATTCAATCAAAAACGACGAATGGATTTTATTTTATAATATTTTTTTTTTCATTATTATCTATTAACCATACCATACAAACACTATGTATACATATTAATTAATTAAAATAAAAGTTTTAGTTTGTACGTGTTATATATAATATTTAATGTTTATAATTAACACCCCCTTCAGAAAATCCTAGCTACGCCACTGCTCCAACCCCCCAAACAGTGTAACTCAAAGGCCTAGTTACACTTATGGTACTTTATAATTTTACTCCTAAATTAATATACATTTTAATAAACTACATAGTATTAAATCTAAGTAGTATCTAAAACTTAAAATGGTTTGTTTTACAGCCACCAGTCACCGGAATAAAATGTTGAACTATATTATACACTAGGGCTAAAAGAAGGCTACAGAAGCAAAGATCCTCAATTCTAAAAAAGTAGTCAAGTGGATACAGCTTTTCTGTTCATCAATTGTCGAGTGAGCTCCTATTATGATTTATGGGTGTATTGAATTTGAATTCAATGATACATATATCATGGCATACGAAAAATGTTTCTGAGTAGAAACTACCTATCAGCCTACAATAATATAACCAAAGATATTTTATGATATGTTTTTATTTTGATATTTTAATATAGCTATTAAAACTATTCATATTACTTTCAGTATTATGTAAATGGATCGATTTTTTTTGGACAATGAAGTATTTAATTATCATAATATATATTTATACCATATAAAAAAAATTTAAATAACTCGAAATTTCATTTTATATTTTTTAGAATACTGTAAAATATCAAAAATAAATTAATAATGTAATAGATATTATTTTAAAATAAATCAAAAATATCATTGTGTGTAGTAAAATGCATTACACTATATAATACGTAAAACTGTAAAAGTTTTAAATTTGCACAAATAATATTTTTAAATTGTAATAAAATAATTGATATCGTAATTTATCGTTTAAATAAGTAATTCCGTTCAAATTTAAACCAAGATGTCTATAAAAAGTAATTGTTTTTGTATATTTTTGGATTTTATGGTTTAACTATTGATTATAATTACGAGAAATTTTGATTATATATTTAATACTTAGATATAAAAAGAAAAGTTTTTATAAATTTTTAACTACAAAAACAGTTTATTAACATTTTATTAGGTAATAAACTAATAAGTTACGTATTGTATTAAAAACATGTGATTGGTGTTAAAAAAATTCATTGATTAATAAATTTCCCAATCTCTTTATACAGATTACAATTTACTATATTATAAATTATAAATATATTAAATAAAAATCAATTGGAGTATAAATGGAAATGATTGACAATAATTATCATTTCATTTTTTTTTCTTAATCTTATTTAAAAATAATGACAATACATATATTCTATAGAGTATAGACAATACAATATACACAATACAGTTTAGGATGAAAACAAATTATTTGACTTCATATCGATAACACTATAATTATTAGTAATGTTTATTAAAGTAGTATTTATATAATAACTAATTGGCTATAATGGCCACATATTCAATAAAAAATATTGCATAATTTATTTCTAAAAAAAAAAATTATTAAAAATCTTACTAAGAACTCCTTAGCTATTTAAATTATAAGACAAAATGACTGAGGTTTGCGATTATGTAATAATACTTATGTGATTTATTATTTAAAATATGTATAAAATGAAATTTATTTTATTGTTGGTTAGGTTTTTGGTTTTATTTTTTACCGAAAACATTTCATTATTTGCATTTATTATATTATTAGTATTTTTAGTAAATTTTCTATTTTGTTTTTAATATTCAATGTAAAAACCAATACGTGCGTTTTAAATGCTTGATCATTTGAATATTTGGTATATGATACTTTATACTTTCATCATCTAAAAACATTAAAAACCTATAAGCACAATAATTATTCTTTAAAAAAAACTTGGAATCCTAGTTTTAATGAAGTTGTGTTGTCAAAAAAAAAAAAAAATAATAAATAACGAATTTATTATGTTGTATGTAATGCATTTTATAAAATATTTATCTTAGGGACTTGTAAGTTTTTGTTATTATACGCGAATTATTATAAAAGTCTATAGTCTTCATACACAATTAAATTTTTCGTAGAAAGACACGACTACTTAATTACTTAACCCGCGCGTATATAGCCTTGCAAAAAATACGTCCGGTCAACATCAGCGACTCGCGTTTCAATAAACTATTAGTAGTAGTTAGTAATACTAACGAAAAAAAATACATTAGTACTTATGTAGTAGTGAGCTTTTCACGTACGAACAAACTTTTTACTTATGCAAATTGTTAAGACAAAATATTGTTTATAAAATCATAACCAAAATTAAATTCAAGTGTGTTGCAAAAAATTATTTATACTTTTTTTTTATTAATATATAATATATTTACATACTATTGTAGTATTGTACACACCCGTTAAGTAAAATAGAAAAAAAAATTAAGCAAAATCACACGAACGACGCGAAAAGGAGACAATTTAATGAACCTAAGATATTAAAATTTACAAAAATTGTTTCCTTTTTTTCATGAATTACATCAAGAGGTTTCTATTCCAGTTTATTTTAAGGTAATCGTGAATATTTGTGGCTATATGAAAGAAGATAAATTTTTAGCGAAAAGGTTTGTGTAGTTGAATAATTTTAAATAAAATTGTACCTATGTATTGGCTTTTTGTAAGTTTTTAATTGTAGGTCATTTTGAAGGGTTGCATTTGAATATCATAACTTATGATTCATAAGACTATAGTCTATAGGTACTGATCTAACGATTAATTTGTGCATGTGTAGTTTATTATTAAGACTAATGTTAGATTTTAATATAGATCGAAGTAGGTGGAGGCGAAAGTTAAATTGTTTTTGTTTAGTGTGATTTGATTATGTTAATCTTTTATCCATAGTGATACCATTATACCACGATATTTCGTAAAATTATGAAGTGAAATTTATTTTTTGTTAAATGTAAGTGGGAGTATACCTTTCTCTTAAAAAATAAAATATAATTTTATATTTTATCAATCATTCTGTAGTTTATGGGAAACACGCTGTATACATCAGAAAATATATTTTTATATAGAACATTTTATGTTAGTAACTAACTGCTAGTGGATCACGGGGAATCTCGAATTGAACTCGTATTTTGTATGGCTCAACGATAAAGTTTTGCATAATGAATATAATCTAGTAATCTACTCTATAAGAATGATTTCAAATCTTTGGTCACAACTCAAATTAGGGTTAAGAAGGTTTATATAGTGGGTTACAATTCGTGAAGAAATAATATACATCACTGTGTTTTCGACATAATTCTTGATAAATATTCAAAATAAAATTAATTATTAAAATAATTAAGTACCTAATTAAAAAGATCAGAGATCAAAATCGTTATGAATATTATATTTTAATCGGTAGGTACTTTTAAGTGAGGCAATTGTTAGAC